GCATGCGAGACAAGCACTCTACCACTGAGCCAACTTCCCAGCCTCTCTGTCTCTCTTTTGCACAGTTCTTGCCATTTCCTACCACTCCTTAACCCTGATTCAGAAAACATTCCCCTGTCCCCCCATCCCACAGATCTTCCAGTGAAACCTTCTCTACTCATCCTCCTCCACAGTATGTGCTCCATGCTTTGGAGCACACTCTTCTACTCCAGCACTCTCTCTAGTCTTCATCTCCACTGCCTGATTCATTCTCTCTCCTTCTCTCAATCCTCCCTCCCTCCTATCTCTATCACCTCTCTCTATTGCTGTCATCTTTATCTCTAGCTCCGTCTTTGACCTCTCCTTCCTGTGTCCCTCATCTCTTACCATCTTCAAGCCCTGCTTGCCTAGCATTCCACCTTCTCCCTGTGTTCTTTCTCCCTGCCTCATTCTTCTTTTGTTTTCTTGCCTTCTTTGGTACTTCCAACAGACTGTTCCTATTAGTTCTCAATGTCTTTGTGCCTCTCTCCTTTAAGCTCTTTCCTTTCCCTTCCTTCTGAGTCCCTCCTCTCTCCTGCAGCTATCCATTGCTGTCAGCCTCTCTCTCTGTCTTCCAGTGTCTGGCTTGCTGTGCCTTTTTCCCTGTCTCTTCCTGTGGGGGCCTCACCCTTTTTTCCCATCACTCTCTCTGCCTTTTTGTAGCTTTATAGTTTGATCTGTTTCCTCTGGACCATTCTTAGTCCCGAAGATCTGTGCTGAGGGTATGAGAGTGCATGTATGTGTGTGATGGAGGGAAGGGCTAGGGAACGGAGAGAAAATACCTATCTTTAGAATCAGTAAATGGTCAAGATCTTTGAGCCTTTTATCCTCTTGCCTGTGCTTCACAAGAGGTGCTACGAGAAAAAGAGATAAATATAAGTGGATGGGAGGGGCTGGGAAGGTGGCTCAGTGGTAGAGCGCTTGCCTTGCATGCATGAGGCCCTGGGTTCCATTCCTCAGCACCACATAAGCAGAAAAAAAACCGGAAGTGGCGCTATGGCTTGAGTGGTAAGGCTCTAGCCTTGAGCTGAAGAGCTGAGGGACAGCGCCCAGGCCCAGAGTTCAGCCTCCACAACTGACAAAAAAAAAAGAGTGCATAGGGAAACACAAAAACAAAAAAAAAAGTCTTTGATTTTTCATTATATCCTGGCAAAAGATCAAGACTAATGTTTCCAGTTCTAAGCCCCAAGTAGAGTCACACAATCCATTTCTGCCTTCACATCGCCACTAGGTTATCACCCAACCTGGTGATGACAACCAGAACCCAAAGCCTGAGAGGCCAAGTAATTAACCCTGAGGTACACAGCAAGCTAGCTGAGCAAAGTGAAAATAGAAACCAGTTCCCAGGCTCTGGATGAGGATGCCAGTGTGTGAAGGAGGAAGGAGCCCAGGGAGGTGGAGACAAGAATCTGTTGCCTTCTGTGTGCTCCCCACTGTCAGCCTGTACCCACAGTTGGAGGTAAGAATTAGGTACCCTCAGCACCATGGACCTTGTTTAAAGACCCCATGTCAGGAGCTGATGTGATTTGTAGCATCAGGCATTCTGTCCCCAAATCCCATATCCCAGCTCATCTCTTGAGGAACAATCTGCCCAGACCCTTGCTTGCTGGCCTGAGTCCACTTGCTTCCTCTCTCTGGGCTTTGGTAAAATGAAAGGATTGTTCTTGTCATTATCAAATTGAGGCCCACGGAGCCATTGGAGAGAGGAGTCATAGGGAACATGCATATAAAAACAAGGTGGGTCCCAAGCTCCTGTGGAAGTTTTCCTTTGATGAAAAGGTTCAATAGTTTTTGTTTTTTTTTTTTTGGGTCTGGTCGTGGGGCCTGAACTCTGGACCTGGGCGCTGTCCCTCAGCTCTTCAGCTCAAGGCTAGCGCTCTACCACTTGAGCCACAGCGCCACTTCCAGCTTTTTTTTTTGCTTATGTGGCGCTGAGGAATCGAACCCAGGGCCTCAGGCATGCAAGGCAAGCGCTCTACCACTGAGCCACCTTCCCAGCCCGGTTCGATGGTTTTTTAAAAAAAATATATTAAAAATATATAAACATATAATGTGATATTGGAAGACTAGATCTCACAACTAAATGTCCACCCAGTCCAACCAGTCCAACATATATATTCAGCTTTCTTTCCAAGGAGCAGTCAGTGCATACCTCCTTATCTGTTTTAGCTCTGAGTGTCTCCCTTGAAGGATATGTAAGACTGTCATTCTGAGGGACCTAGGAAAAAGAAGGATTGTGGGCCTGGCCACCCTTTGTTCAATCTCCACAGCCCTCACCTCTTGGCCCCAAGCCTAGGCATAAACAGAATGCAGTGAAATGTCTGTCCTAGAGGCTCATTGCTGGCCATCCACCACCCTTGTTTTATAGACGAGATTCCAAGGGTCAAGCAAGTTGCCCCAAGTGAGCTAGAGACCCAGTGAGCACAAGATCCAGGCTTCTATAGGCCATATTGGGTGCAATGACTAGGACAGTTGGTTGGGCCCAAAGATAAAGGCCTTGCATGTACATTCATAAAGCTGGCTTCTTTTACTATTGTATTGATACAAGCTCTTCCTGCCTTATGTGGGGGCAGAGAGGTCTTTCTCTGCCTGGGTCCTGCCTGTCTGCAGGGCCAGCCTGCATCCTTCAGTTATTCTGACTCCAAACCAGACCGCCTCACCATACAGCTCAATGTCATAACAACCCAAATCTTGGCCCCTTTCTCCTTAGTTTTCCAGCTCCAGAGATCTCAGGAAGCTACAATCTAAGCTTGTCTCTCTTTTCTTGCAATGATTACAGTCTTCCCTCTTGCAAGCTTCCATGTCTCACTCAACGTTGAATCATTCTGATTTGGTTTACCAGCTGTCTTCCAGTTTACCTTCACTATATACAAGGACTTCACCCAGGCTTTCACCCTTAGTCTGTTTCTTCCCAAGTAAACTCTTGTGTAAAGCATGATTACAACAATTAATAAGTCCTTTTGCATTTAACTGCATAAGCTGATTCCCAAGGGCAGCTCAATGGAGAATGGCCTAGGAGAACCAGAGGAGCTTTCCACTCCATTCTTTCCAGAATCTTCTCCAAGTCCACTGTTCTCTCTGACTTTGATCTTCATCCCTCATACTACCCTTTCCTTGGCTAAAATTTTCTAAATAACAGTAGTTACAGCAGAACAAAATTTGAGTATACTATTAGAACAGAAACCATAAATTCAAATGTCACAGGGTCAAACAGATGATATAAATGCATAAAAATAAGGGTGTGTATAAAACAATAATGAATGACAAGGAGTATTTCACAGCAAGAGTGAAATAATTCATTCTCTATCCAAATGAATGAATCACTTACCCAACTGTTGACTGTGGTCAATGTGGAAACACTGATCCAATATGGCCCCATCTAATTTGTGATCCTAAAGATGTAGTTTTCTTTATGTTATTTGTATGTTTCTCTGAGTTGTTTAAAATACAAATACTAATTTAGAAGTTAAATTAGACAGTCCAAACAAAATAGGTCACAGCCTACATTAAGTGACCCCATCAAATAACCTATGCTGTATAATTTTGGCATGAAGCATGATGCTGGCTGTTTGTTTATGCCATATATTCTTTTTTTTTCCAGTCTGGGTCTGGGCGCTGTCCCTCAGCTCTTCAGCTCAAGGCTAATGCTCTACCACTTGAGCCACAGCATCACTTCTGGCTTTTTTCGCTTATGTCGTGCTGAGGAATTGAACCCAGGGCCTCATGTATGCAAGGCAAGCACTCAACCACTGAGCCACCTTCCCAGCCCCCTCAGATATTCTTTATAAAGTCAAAATCATTTCTAGAGATATAATTTGAAATTTCTCTGTAACTGATTAAAAATTAAAAAGGAACCAAGGTGGCCAGAATATCAACAGGAGTAACCAGTCAAAAATGAGTAAAGAAGTAGGTTGAAGTGCTCTAACCAGCCACACATCTTAAACCCCTCTCCACCAATTGCCCTTCCAGAAAACTTGGCTTTTATGGATGTACTTCTGCATAGTTTACCATAATACCTACATTTTGAATACATTAGGAGAAAAACTCATTAGGTTAAGTTCTGACTCATAGAACCAGAAAGATAATGACTACTAAAAAGTAATTCCAACCACAGGGAGCATTCTTAAATCTACTTATATTCATTGCCATCAGCAAAGCAAAACCAATCTACTGGCACCATATTGACAGTGTGATGGACAGAATTTCTGAAGTGTTTCTAATTAAGAAAGACTACAAAAGGAAATTAATTATAGAATTCATACATTATTAATTTAATATTAAATTCTCTTTGTATGGATGCATTGGGATTACTATTGTTCTTACTTGGGTTATTCCAAAAATTGTTTATAAGACTATGTTCAGTTTATCCAAGATCTTTCCAAAATTTTAGAGAAATAACCCTCTCATTCAGAAAAACTGTAATTTGTGATCATGTTGGCAAAAATGTTGAATGACTGACATAATGAACACATGTGAGACTTAGACACCAGAGAAAACTGAATCTTAAATATTCACTCTAACCTTTACTGATCATAGCATTAATCTTAATGCTCAATACTATCTGTTGCCTTAACCCTGACATTGATTAAAAACTGTAAACCAAATCATAAATATCACTGTGCCAATTATGCTTCTCATCTTTATCAGTGCAAGGCTTAGTCCTTTCTGCAGTTCCAAAAGAAAACAGGAAGTGAGCAAGAGTAGAGGGGAAACAAGACTGTGTCAGGAAAAGGAGCAACAGACACTCGCAGGTCAGGATGAAACACTGATGATGGTGCAGACTGGCCCTCGTCCCGCACCAAATCCCAGCATCACTCCTACTGCAATTGGAAATTAGTTTTGCGTCTTCCATCTCTTCAATCTTCCTGGTACTATCAGAAAATGTAACTGAGACAATAAATGTGCAAATTCCTTACACATTCTTGACACATACACTTAATAAATTGCATATTTTCTAAAACCCTTGAAACTGGCAGGTCACAATGCCAGCATTCAACCAGTCCACGGTGATAGAATTCATTCTATTGGGATTCACCTTCAACGCCAGGACCAATCCTCTGCTCTTCACCTTCTTTTTAGTCTTCTATCTGCTGATTCTTGTGAGCAATAGCCTCCTTATCACACTCATCCATCAGGACTCCCGCCTCCATACACCCATGTACTTTTTCATTAGTGTCCTCTCCATGCTGGACGTGTGCTATACCACCACTACTGTCCCCCAGATGCTTGTGCATATTCTCAGCAAGAAGAGGACCATCACTTTTGCTAGATGTGTTGCCCAGATGTACATCTTCCTCCTCTTTGGAGTTACAGAGTCCTGGCTTTTCTCCATCATGTCTGTGGACAGGTATATGGCCATCTGCCACCCTCTCCGATACAAGGTCATCATGAGTCGTAGGACGTGTCTCCTCATGGTAGGTATCTGTGCAGCCTATGGTGTGGTGGGTGGCCTATGCTATACCTTCTTTGCCATGCGCTTGCCCTATTGTGGTCCTGATGAAATTGACCACTACTTTTGTGAGGTTCCTGCTGTTCTGAAGTTAGCCTGTGCAGACACATCCCTCAATGACTTGGTGGACTTCATCACAGGTTTCAATGTCATTGTGGTCCCACTCTCCCTGGTTGTTATTGTCTATGTCAACATCTTTGCCACCATCATGAAGATCCGCTCAGCACAGGGGCGGATCAAGGCCTTCTCCACCTGTGCCTCCCACATCACTGTGGTCACCATGTTTGCCATCCCATGCATCATCATGTACATGAGCCCTGGCTCTGGCCCCTTATCAAACAGTGGCAAAAAAATGGCCCTTTTTTACAACATTGCCACAGCCTTCCTCAACCCTGTCATCTATAGTCTAAGGAACAAGGATGTGAAAAGGGCTTTCCTCAAACTCATGGGAAGGAGCAGGACTCCAGAGTGAGGCTTTAGAACTAAAGATGGAGGAGCAAAGCAAGGTTTGTAATCACCAACTTATCACCAATTTATAGATAAATATAAACTGATCCCCTTACCCAGGTGGAGATAGTACTCCAACACCTGCATTATGTGTGGTGATGTTATTTCATTATAAGGGTAGGGTACAAAGGTTCAGAGCCTGGACTTTAGTGCCAGACAGACTAAGATGAGAAACTTGGTTTTTTTTTTTTACCAATTACATGTATATTTGAAGTCTTTAACTGTAACCAGCAATTCTTCCTCTCTGGCAATTTATAACGATTAAATGATATATGAAAATTGCATAGTACAGGGCATGGCTTTCAAGAAATGTTAAGTTTTAATTTGTACATTCACTAGTGAACAATGAACCCTCATGCATGATCGGGCTGTGCAAGTGATAAGAGCCCCAGAGAAGAAGGAAGAAGAGGAAAAAACGGAAGACACAGACTTAAAACTGAAGAGTGGAAAGCCTTAGGGTGCAAAGAAGACGAAAAAGAAGCAAACATTTGTATCTGTGTCTGTTAGAATGCCCGATGTTGTTTAAATTCTCTTGGGGGAAGGGCTATTTTGTAAGCATTTTTTTCTGTACTTTAAAAACATTTTCTACCTCTTTTGATTTTTCTATCTCTCTTGTTTTCTTTTTTTTTGGGGGGGTCCGGTCATGGGGCTTGAACTCTGGGCTTGGGCGCTGTCCCTCAGCTCTTCAGCTCAAGGCTAGCGCTCTACCACTTGAGCCACAGCGCCACTTCCGGCTTTTTTCTTTTTGCTTATGTGGTGCTAAGGAATCGAACCCAGGGCCTTGAGCATGCAAAGTAAGTGCTCTACCACTGAGCCACCTTCCCAGCCCCCTCTCTTGTTTTCATAAAGCTCAAATTGAGAAATTACAGCCTTGGTGATATCAAGATTAAAGGAATGAGTGGCATTAGAAAAGGAAGGCCAGGGATAGTGTAAGCCCCAGATGCAAAATTTAGGGAGTCTGGAGAAAAAAAACTAAATGGGAGCTTTGAATCTACTGTCTCTTGATTGGGAGGAACTTTCTCCCCCAGACCCACTTATTCCTTATAGAATCTTTTATTTATTTATTTAAGCAGTCGTGGGGCTTGAACTTTGGGCCTGGGCACTGTCCCTGAGCTCTTCAGTTCAAGGCTAGTGCTCTACCACTTGAGCCACAGCGCCACTTCCAGTTTTCTGGTAGTTTATTGGAGATAAGAGTCTCATGGACTTTCCTGTTCCAGCTGGTTTTCAACCACAATCCTCAGATCTCAGCCTCTTGAGTAGCTAGGATTACAGGCATGAGCCACCATTGCCCAGCTTAGAAAATTTGACATAAGGCCTGTTTCTCTCATAAGAAGACAGAATCTATCTATGCCAAAGGTGCAGATTCTCAAAGGTATTACCTTACCCACCTACCTAGAAGCCAGAGTGTTACATAAATAATCAGAGAATATTAAAGGACTGTGACCAAAAAAAGCCTACAATTACAACAAACTTTTATGGTTAGGATCATTAACCTAGAAAAGGGCTTTTACTAATGAGTAAGAAAAATATAAACGCTTCAGAAAATTGGCAGTAGATAGGTTCTTTAAATATGAAATCTCAAATTATAAATATATAGGAAAAGCCTACTGCCATAGGCATCAATATTAAATATCAATGAATAAAAGGCATGATTTCAGGATCGAATACTTTATTCTACTGGCTTAGCAGCAAAGGAATACAACATATAAAAGAATCAATGAACTCCAAGATAGGTCCACAGAAATCATCCACTGAAAGACTGAGACGAAAAAAGTGTGGAAAAAGAGGATACAGCTTTCAAGAGATATAGGATAGTGTCAAATGATCTGACATAGTCAGACAAGTAAAAAACAGCATGCAAAAATATTGTTCTTTCACCAGGTACCGGTGGCTCACGCCTGTAATCCTAGCTATTCAGGAGGCTGAGATCTGAGGATCTCAGTTCAAAGCTAACTCGGGCAGGCAAGTCTTAAATCTGATATGAAACTCTTAAATCCAATAAACCAACAGACAACCGGAAGTGGCACTGTGGCTCAAGTGGTAGAGTGTTTGCCTTGAGCTGAACAGCTGAGGGACAGCGCTCAGGCCCAGAGTTCAAGCCCTATGACCACCACCAACAACAACAAAAAATTGTTCTCTCCCAGGATAAATGGAAAATTCACCAAGATTCAATATATCAATGGATAATAATGCAATCTTAAGACAATGGAGCTCATGCAAATTAAGTTCTCTGGCTATATATAGAAACTTTAAATCAATAACAGGAAGATAATAGGAAACTCCTTCAAGTGAGTAGAAATTAAATATTGTATTTTAAATAAGCCATGGTAGATTGGTGTTGCTCAGTGGTAGTGTACTTGCTTAGCATGCACAAGGCCCCAGGCTCAATTCTCAGCACTACAAATAAAACAACAATAATAATAATTCATAGATCAGAGAGAAAGTTTCAAAAGAAAAGATATTTAGCTGAAAGTACTATATATAAAATCTGTAATTTATAGCTGAAGAAAACCTCTTTGGTAAGGAAGGTTGGTAGTAATAACTGCACATATTAGACTAAAAGGAATTTCTTAAATGAATAATACAAGTTTCCTATCAACAATATGAAAAAGAGAGCCGGGAACTAGAGCTCACACCTGTAATCCTAGCTACTCAGGAGGCTGAGGTCTGAAGATCATGGCTCAGGGCCAGCCACAGCAGGAAAGGCTATGAGACTCTTCTCTCCAATTACCACCAGGAAACTGGAAGCAGAGCTGTGGCTTACATGGCAGAGCACTATCTTTGAGCAAAAAAAAAAGTTCAGGGACAGTTTTCAGGCCCTAAGTTCAAGCCTCCAAATGACCAAAAAACAAACAAAAGTAAAAGAGAGGAATATTTTGGTTATTTTAGGATTGTTGTTTCCACTTCTGTGAAGAATAATATTGAAATTTTGGTGATGATTGCATTGAATTTATACATCACTTCCAGCCATCTTAATATCTATTCTGCCACTCCATGAACAGGAGGTCTTTCTACCTTCTAATGTCTTCTATAGTTTCTTTCTTCAGTGCTTTATCATTTTCATTGCATAAGCCCTTAACAATCTTTGAAGTTTATACCTATGTATTTTAATATTTTTGAGGCCATGAATGGGATTGTTTTCCTCACTTTTTTGTACATTTTTATTGTAAAAATGCTTTACAGAGGGGTTACAGTTACATGAGCAAGGTAATGAGTACATTTCCTATTGAGCATTTGTCGCCTCCTCCTTTGTTTTCCCCCTACCATCCCTTCCCTCCCACCTCCATAATTACCCACCCACACTTCTTTTTGTTGTTGTTGTTGGTGGACATGGGACTTGAACTCTGGGCCTAAGCTCTGTCTCTTAACTCTTCAGCTCAAGGCTAGAGCTCTACCACTTGAGCCACAGAGCCACTTCCAGTTTTCTGGTGGTTTATTGGAGATAAGAGTCTCATGGACTTTCCTGCCTGGGCTGGCTTTGAACCATGATCCTCAGATCTCAGTCTCCTGAGTAGCTAGGATTCCAGGCGTGATCCACAGGCGCTATGCTTCCTGATGTCTTTTTCAGAGTTTGATATTGATGTTCATGTATAGAAAAGCTATAGACTTTTCATCTATTTATTTTATGTCCTCCTATTTGCTGAAAGTGTATGTATAGCAGATCTAAGAATCTTCTAGTGAAATTTCCAGAGTCTTTCATCTATAAAGAAGAATGAAATTATGTCATTTGTTGAAAAATGGGTAGAAATGGAGATCATCGTTAAGCAAATAAGCCAGTTCCACAAAGAGAAAAATCACATATTTTCTTTCATTTGTGGAAGCTAAGAGGGAGAAAAAAATCTCATGAAAATGAAGAGATACTCATGTGAAGATAATAGGGGAAAAGAAGAGGAGGAGGTAGATGAGAGCATAAAGGAATAATAGAAAGAGAGCGAATAAACATGATTAAAGTATATTTTAGACATACGTGGGAATCTCATAATGAAGCCCCTTATAGGCTGATAACAGTTCTCTGCCAAGTATTGTAAGCTGGTGACAAAGAAATGAATTAGTATGAGACCTGCCTTGGTGGAGTCCATCATCTGAGTTCTTCATGTTTAAGAGGGGACCCATTGCCAGAGCCTTCTTAAACATAATCTCACTTGTTCTATCCCATAACAATGTCATATGGGTTGACTGGATGTTAGCAAAAACATTCATAAAGAAGTCACACAGATGAGACTAGCAAAGAAGCTCACGTAATAATGTCCCTGCTGAGCAAGTGTGAAGCCTTGTGAAGGCTCAGTTCAAATCTCAGTATTGCTTCTCCCCCACTCATAAGTCATATAGGCAGTGTCCTTAGTTTAGTTGTTGGTACTCATGGTCTTGAAACTTCATTATGATCCTTGGCTCCTGCCTATCACTTTGAGGAAAGCCCTTTTGACATCTTTGTTTCGGAGGCTGTAGATGATAGGGTTCAGGAACGCAGAGATGACATTGTAGAACAGAGCTAGCTTCTTGTCCTCTTCTGGGGAGGACTCAGAGCCCGGTCTCATATACATAACCATACAAGGGATAGAGAACATGGTGACTACAGTGATGTGGGAAGCGCAGGTGGAGAAGGCCTTGAGCCGCCCTTGGGTTGAGCGGATTCTCAAAATGGCAGCAAAGATATTGATGTAGACAATGATAATGAGGGAGAGTGGGACCAGAAGAAGAATGAAGCCTAGGATGAAATCCAATTTGTCATTGAGAGAGGTATCTGCACAAGCCAACTTCAAGACAGCAGGTACTTCACAGAAAAAGTGGTTGATCTCATTGGGGCCACAATAAGGAAGAATCATAGCAGAGACTGTATATATTAGGGCACAACTGATGCCCCAGAATCCACAGAAGGCCACCAGTGAGCCACAAAGCAAAGGGCTCATGATGACTTTATACCTGAGAGGATGGCAAATGGCCACATACCTGTCATAAGCCATGATTGCAAAAAGCCAAGACTCAGTGATTCCCAACATCAGGAAGATGTACATTTGGGCTACACATCCAATATAGGAGATGGTCTTCCTCTTGCAGACCAGGTGAACTAGCATCTGGGGCACTGTGGTGGTGACATAACCCATGTCCAGAATGGATAAGACACTGAGGAAAAAGTACATGGGTGTGTGGAGGCGGGAGTCCATACGTATCAAAGTGATAATGAGCCCATTGCCTAGAAGGGTGATGAGGTAGAGGAAGAGAAAGACATTGAATAGAATAACATTTATCTTCTCATCACTAGAGAATCCTAGAAGAATGAACTCAGTAAGAGAGCTGTGGTTTCGCCAAAGGAAATCCTGCATCCTTCTCCTGTAGAAAAACAGTAGAGAAAAACAACAAAAAAACACTTCAGGAGGTGAAATATTCAGATTCTAAACCCCGCTGCTACTTATATAATATACACAATAAGACAAACAAATGTAACAAAGGAAGTACATAGGATATCCACAAAACTGAAGAACAAAGTTTAAAGGAATTTCCATTTAATATGAAATGGCATGCTAACATTGTACTATATAATCCTAGTTTTTTCCCTGAAATGCCCACATTTCAAAATGTAGATTTTTGTAAAAAAAAAAAAAAAGGAGAAGGAAAAGAAGGTTCAAAATTAATGTCTTAAAATTAATAATCCATGTAGCTTATGATTTCAAAGAGGACAAGAGTTGAATACTAAATAGTATATAATTTTTTATGCATTTCATACAGATAGGGAAGTTTTGCTCCACTTTGGGACTTCTTCCCAAATTGGCTTCAATTGAACTATTTGAAAAGCTGAAAAGCCTGAAACTTGAGAGACAGTTATTAGGCATCTAATTGAAGTCCAAAATAACACAGACCTCATTGGAAATAAGTTATACTCCATGAAGGGCCAAAGTCGATGCGTGGATGAGAAGTGAGAGATATGAGTGATAGGGACCAAGGGCAACACAACAACTAAAAAATAATGGCCAACAGTTTTCCCAAATGTAGGAAAGATTTCAACTTACAGAATAGATATGCTGCCCAACAAGCACTTAGAATAATAAACACAACCAGGCACTGGGGGCTCACACCTGTAACCCTAGCTATTCAGCAGGCTTAAGATCTAAGGATTGTGGTTCAAAACCAGCTCAAGCAGAAAAGTCCATGAGACCCTCATCTCCAATTAACTGCCAGAAAACTGGAAGTGGAGCTGTGGTTAAAGTGGTAGAGTGCTAGTCTTGAGCAAAAGAGCTCAGGGACAATGCCCAGGCCCAGAATTCAAGCCTCATGACAAAAAAATAAGAATAATAACAATAAGAATAATAACAAACACAAAGAGGACCCCCTGAAGAACCAATCTACTATTTTCTTTATATAACACACACACACACACACACACACACACACACACACACACACATATATATATATAGGTGTTATTGTAGAGGTTATATAAGTCAGGTAATGAATACATTTCTTTTTGGACAATGTTACCCCTTACCTTGCTCTCTCTCAATTTTTCCCTTCCATCCCCACCCACAAGTTGTATAGTTCATTTTCAACATAATGTCTAGTGACTGTACTTGTTCACCTTTGTCTCACCTTTTCTGCAACCCCCCCCACCTTATCCTCCCAAAGACAAACTAATGAACATGACAATAGGAAAAGACAGCAAAATAGCAGCAAAAAACCTCTTGTTTCCATTTCTTGGAGTTCATTTTGTAAAATATCTTTTATATTTATATCAATCTACAATTTTCTTTTTTTATTGTGAAAACACCGTACAGAGGGGTTAAAATACATGAACAAAGTAATGAGTACATTTCTTATCCATCTACAATTTTCAAACTGGTCTAAGAAAAAAAATAATTACCTTCAAATGAGAGTCAATGAGACAGGCTCAGGTCTCTCAAAAGAAAAACAGAAGACAGTTGAATTACTTGTGCTAAAAGGAGACAGACAGACAGAGACAGAGAAACAGAGGCAGAGTGCAAGAGACAGAGAGGAGTCAAGAATGTATTTTACAGCATATAATACCTGGTAACAATAGTAGATAACTATTACTGATTTATGTACACTTATATGCTGTATGTGTATGTTTCTATGTGAGTCTGTGTGCAGAATATGTGACAAAAATAACCCAAAGAATGGGAGGGAAATGAACTAAAACTTAAAGATTTTTGCACTGTTTGGGAAGAAATAATGTAAATAAGCCTATAATAAACCCAAGGTGCATAGTAGTCTCTGAGTGAGGTGTTAACATATTTTTTCTCTAAAGAACCATAGTAGTCTTTGCAATCCATTTATAACCAAGGTTCCATATTCTTACAGTCATGTACCACGTAACGGCACTTTGGTCACCACCCCATCTAATTCAGATCTCAGCTATACTGCTGTTCCGTGGCTCATTCTAAAAGCCCTCTGAAATCTATTTTAGTCCATAAACTGCCAACTGAAATTTTCCTGAGGATCTTCCATCTGTGCCCATCACCTGAGCTCTCTTCACCAGGTCTTTTATAATATGAACTCTTTTACATCTTCAGATCTCTGCCTAATTAACACTTCATCAGAAAACCCTTTCCCACCATCCTTTCTGAAATATAGCCATTCTTCACTGCCTGTTTTTCCTTATACTTCTCATTGTTGTCAGAAAAGAACTTATCTGCTTATCTAGGTATTGTGTGTTGCCCCTAGATTATTAACGTGGGTGTCTTGTTTCATTCACTCCTCCATCTCCATAGGGTGAAACTCAGTAAATATTATTAAATTATGGAAGCAAAGCAGGGCAGTCTCCATCCTAAAAGCTTGTGAGAAAGATAAGGAAAGTTACTGGCATCTGTTCTCTAGTTAAATACATTTGGAATGTAGAATCTACTACTTTATGATCCATATCCTAGAGGGTGTGTGGATAAGCTGTGGACAAGATATATTTGGTTGATGAAAGCATAAACTTAGATAACTGGTGAAAATTTTCTCTACAAAAATTTAATGTATGAATAATACTGAGGTCTGAAGGGGTTTGTTAAGGAGCTAGATAAGACTTGCTCTTCAAAACCTCTAGATTTGGAATTGGGTATAAATTTGACTAGGGTGACAATCTTTAGCTTGATTATGGAAATTTTTCTGGCACTCAAGGTTGATCATAGACATAAAAACCTATACTGAGAGGCAAGGAACTCCATTTCTGCTAGGAAGGCTGAATCTAGCTAACCATGTGTGCATGTTTGAACATCCCCCCCCATTTTCATATGTTGAAATCTTAATCCCCAATAGGGTGGTTTTAAAAGGTGGATCTTTGGAAAGCAATTAGGGTTAGATGAGATCTTAAGGACAAGACCATCTTAATGGGATTAATGCCCTTATGAAAGAAGAGATCCAGGACATGTAGAGATATAACCAGGAAGATGTCCTCACCAGAACCTGACTGTTCTGGCATGCTGATCTCAGACTTCCCAGCTTCCAGTACCATGATAAACTTTAGTTGCTTAAGGCACTCTGACTATGGCACTTTTGTAATAGGTGACCAAACTACAAAGACACTCTGTCAAGGACGCTTTCACACTGATCTGGATTTAGAAAGAGATGGGACAGGAGACCTGTTAAAGCCCAGTCCAACCAGAAGAGTTATGTCATCTGGTCCTGATCACCATGTCTGGATCACAAGGACAACCTCTCATTGTGACCCTCATCTCCAGGCCCACCTCTACACTCAACTCAATAGCATTCTCTAGGAACAGTCTTGATTTTTAAAAAAAAGACTTTTTCCACTATGACCTATGCCTGCAGACTGTGGGGGAGAGCATGTGGTACTTATAAAAGTAACAGAGGGAATGGGAAGGGAAAGGACTAGATGGACAGGCTCCAAAACAGATCCATATCTACCATTCCTGGTAATTCTAATGCAGAGCACCACCGGATAGCAAGTATCCTAGAGAGGCATCTGTCCCCTGTTCAGTAAGAGACCTCAACGAAACTCAGCTCTAAGGTCATCTCTGAAATCTTTATTTCCTTATATCCTAAACACTGTCCAATCAGCACACCTCACCCCCCACCTGCCATTTGCTTGTTATGACCAGCCCAAGGCTTTCAGCTTCCCTAAACAGCCACCGCTGCCGCCGCCG